TATGTATTATTATATATAAATTATATATAATGATGTATAATATATAAATACAAATAATAAATATAAGTAACTATATAAATATATATATTATTATATAATGTATATATACATGTAGGATAAATAATTTTTGTTATCGTACTGCGCGTTGTGAAGATCATAGGCCTACACACATATATAATAAATAAATAAATAAATAAATAAATATATAATATAGTAAAATAATCAGTAGTATGACAATAATGATTAACTTCATTCTATCCACTTAATCCACTAATGCGTCTTACATAATATATAAGTCTATATTATGACACCAGTACTCCTATATGTATATATATAAATGAGGAGACTTCTCACCAGTGTTTCTCTCGGCTACAGCAGTGTAGAACATGTCTTGCTGTGTAGCTAGCTGCAGCTCCATGTGCGTGCCCGTGTACGGAAGAGCCTGCAACGTTACAACAACACCACTATGATGAGTTCTGTCACCGCATACGAGTCCCAGTGAAAAAAATACACGGGGGCTCGGGGCGATTTAGCCCCCGAAATGCCAAAAAGAGCCCCCGTAAATTTGCATAGAGTTCAATGCAAACCAAATTTTAGAGTGCTATTTTCATGCACGCGACCTTGAAAAGTAGCCCCCGAAAAATAAATTTACCAATTTTTTCCCTGACAACACCACCATGATGAGTTCTGTCACCGCGTACGACGCACAACGTACAACTTACGACAACAAACTACCGTACACGGCCGAGAAGGTCGGTGGAGAGGGATGTGCAGTTACAATGTTCGACCAACACGACTTACTCATACTATACATGTGTCAGACGAACACTGATAACTCTTTTGCTGCTCCCTCGCCCATCATCTCGCTTCCTGTCCCTATCGCTCTCCTCTGCCTCTTCTCGCTCTCCACTTTTACTCTCTCTCTCTCTCTCTCTCTCTCTCTCTCACCTCCTCTTTCATCGCTCTCACTCTCTCTCATCTCTTGTCACTTATCTTTCTTTCTCTCTCTCTCTCATCGCTCTCACTCTACCTCATCTCCTTTCGCCTCTCTGTTACTCTCTCTCTTTCATCGCTCTCATTCTCCCTTACCTCCTCTCACCATTCTCGCTTTCCCCCTTACCCGACCATCTCGCTTCCTCTACCACGTTTCTCTTGCTCTCTCCCTCACCCCTCTCTCTTGCCCCATCTTCCTCTCTCCCCCCTCTCCCTCTTTCTCACTCTCACCCACTTTCGTTCCCTCTCTCTCATTCCCCCCACCTTTTTCCTCTCCCACTGTATGCCCTCCCCTCCTTCTTCTCCCCTCTCTCCTTCACCCGCTCTCGTCCCCCTCCCTCATTCTTCCTCTCCCACTGCATGCCCCCTTTATCTGACTTGCTCTTTGGCTTTAATGGAAGCATTTATTATGTCGATTTCCTTTACTTATGACTCGAGTGCAGTCGAATGCCATTAACGTCATAATGTCTCTCTCACAGCAGCAGTCGTGATTTATTCTAGCATCGTCTAGAGACTTTACAGAGTTTACAGAGACGGATAACGACGGATCGGGAGAAGAGGATGGGGAGGAGGGGGGAGGAGGATAGGGAGGAGGGGGGAGAGCATAGACGGAAACAGAGGTACACACAGAGAAGTTTGACAAGACCAGTGGAAGGGGAGAGGGGGTGGGCAGAGGGAAAGAGCTGGAAAAATGTATTTCAGTGCGACGCCTGTCATTTCAACCAGTTATTTCTCCCTCCTTGCCCCCTGTCTTCTTTCAACCCCCTTTCTCCCACTCATCCATCACTCTCCACATCTCTCGTACATTCCCCCCCCCCCGATTCATTCAACCCCTCACCTCCTCATCCCCCCCCCAAAAAAACGCAGAATGGAAGCGACAAGAACGAACGATCGCTCGAGAAAAAATAACTCGTCGAGTCGCACGCAGATGGCAGCACTGCAGCTATGCAGATCTTCGTCTGCCGCTGCCACGGGGAGAGGCGTAATTATGGCCGTGAGAGCTTCCCGCTCCGCTGCAGCAGCAGCAGCAGCCGCATCCGCAGCAGCCAACGACGCAGCAGCAGCAGCGAGACGCGGCCGACGTCAGTGACTCAACGCCCACCGTCGCCGTCGCCGCCGACAACAACAGCAGCAACAGCAACAGCAGCAGCGACAGCAGCAGCAGCAGTGTCCGTCGACCCGCCCCTTCGTCACGGTGTACCGTTACACGGATAGAGAGCGAGAGAGAGAAAGAGGCAGCCGAATAGGGACCGCACTTCATTACGTAATCAGGTTTGCTATAAACATTGATTTTATGACGAGGGTCTGAGGCTTAGGGAATCTACACGCTGCGCTGCTGCGAGCAGTAGTAAGAGAAGCAGCAGCAGCAGCAGCAGCAGCAGCATCAGTAGTAGCTTGCAAGTAGTAGTAGCAGTAGCAGCTTGCATGAAGTAGTAGTAGAAGTAGTAGTAGTAGTAGAGGCAGTAATAGTAGTACACACTTTATTTTTTATAAGAATCGTACTTTTTTTTTGAGCCTCGTGATTCTTAGAAAATCGACATTTTGAGCCTTAAATAATTCTTAAA